CTTATTACAAAACTTTAAAAGCTATTTTCGTCTACACAAAGCTGTGAGCGAAAATGTGTATCTTTTAGTTTGAAAAATAAATGCTAAATAATTAAGTTTTTTAAAATATTTCGTTCTAGTAAATTTACTAAGAACCTCATTATTCTCTGAAGGGTTAGACAGAGGTCCACATATACCCACTTTTCACTAGTTACCTATATTATGAGTCCCATGTAGTAGGGGGTGAGTCTACAATATCAATTATGTACTGCATTTAAAAAAGTACAATTTAATCATAACGGTCATACAATATGTAATCAAATAAAATGATATTGTATGGGTTTATTATTATTAATACAAGAATATATCTTACATTTTTGTTATACACACGTAAACATTAATTTTTAAGCGCTTTTTTAATTAATCATTAATTTTGATGCAATATTTCATACATTTATATACAGAAAAGACTAAAGGCCTGTTTCGCGATGTCTGTATAGCTGCATGGTACCAAATAAAGAATATAGAACGTAATTTGCATGGACTACCTGTCATATAGGTTTATCGGGTATTTATATACCGTGAAATCTATTTCGTTTTCGTCCCGCGGCGAAGCAGTTTGCCATAAGAACTACTTTCAATGTATAAAGTAAAAACAAAAAAATTAATATGTCATTTATATTAGTTTAAAAAATCATGGAAATACGCACATGAAACACTAGATGTAAATTTGTAGGCACTACCCGCATCGCACGTGTCACCCGACGAGAAATACCTCTCCGAGAATCACATGGCGTGATGTTTTGATAATGTACTATGAGTTCGTACGCGCTTTCGAAGTTTGCGTTGCAATGGTTCACCAGTTATTTTTTGTTTGTAAAACTATTGTATTACCGAGACAGAACCATTTTACTTCGGGACGAAAACGAAATAGATTTCACGGTGTATGAAGGCGGAACGGGCGCATAAGATACGCAATCTTTAAAAAATCAGAACTATGGTAGATGACTATGATTTTATTTTTTCTTTTAAGGGGGGAAAATCATCGAATGACTGCTCCCGCCTGGGTGAGGCGGGAGGTAGTGTCAGACTCCTGACAGATGACTATGATAGCCCAGTCATATTGCAGATTTTATTCGTGTTCTCAGATATGAACATTATTTATTCTTATGAGTGTTTAATTACTGGCTTACTCACTTAACTGTTGGACGAGGAACTCGACTAGTTTGAAGCCATGGTAGAGGCTCATATCCATGAGCAGCATTTCGCGACCCGCGACGCGACAGTCGCCGCGTAAAACATTATAATTTAGTATGTCCCACATAAGTTTTAATATAAACATTGAAAGTGTTTGATAGTTTTTATCTAAACTAGTGGACCGATATTGATGAGTTTAAGATTAGAATTTGGAGATGGTAGATAAGCATTTTCGACGATACAAAATCTATAAAATTGGGAATATTATTACAATTATGAATTTAATTTAATAATTGAACATGATGTTTGGAAAACGAATGATACAGGACTCAAACCCGTAACCTCCGTCTTGAGTGGGTTTCGAATCCTGTTTATATGTAACTTAAATTGATTGTTTGTAATACGAGTAAATCCACAGGAGAAAGTTAGTTTTTAGAACTTAATCGTTGTCACATCGCTAGAGGCGTTCATGTGAAACAAAGATGTCTTAAAAGATGAACTAATCAAGTCAATCGAATTTGCCACTCATTGCATAGCAGCTGATCGACAAACCACTGCACCAACTGTGCAAATTTTTCGACTTTATAATAAGATTTGATTTGATAACCTTGCAACACATTAACGCCATCTATTGAGAATAATTAATAAATAAATAATCCATATCCCTATATTTATACCTCCCGATATTGATTTTCGCCGCATTTTAGCACTGAGCTATCAAAAACTAATATATTTTATTTCTTCTGTCTCTCTAGTCATTTTTGTATATAAATGTATTAAAATACTTATTGAATAATACTTATTAAAATATGATTTTGCAAATTATTCCCTGGTTTTTAAATTAATTAGGTACTTGTAATTCTCAATAATTAAATAAACATAATTTCCAGACTCAAAATCGGAGAAATTTAATGATTAATTTACGCTAACCAACAAATTGAGTAGCTAATAATAGTTTCACAGTTAAGTGCCTGATAATTCTATCCGCTAGATAGTTAACTGCCTAGGTATACCACCTGGGCAATGGAACGATAAGTTTTTTAACAAGTGTCTAACTTTATGTCAAATATTTCATAAGAAATCATGTAGTTATGCTAAAATGCTCCAATTCTGTATATTTTCGACTCAAAATTTGTGCACATAATATACAATGTAACATCTACTTTTCGCCCTTTATGTTATGAGTCCCATGTAATACATAGGGGGCTCTTAGCATTATTATACGCTCTGAATATTGAAAACTTTCGAAACATATTTTTGATTTTTATATTTTCGAACCTTTCTTATGTCTTATTAAACCACAGATGGAAAATAACCTTGCCATGTACCTTGTGTAAAATAGTATTTTTTGTTTATGAGAAAATATGTATTTTTTTAATATTATACTGCCTCATCAAAATTAGTCTGTCAAGTAGTCGATTCATAACATCTTTTTTTACTTTGAAATGTATATAGAATAGGAACATTTCAGCATACCCACATGAAAACAAAAACAACAAAAAAACAATGAAAAACAAGCATTTTAAACAATAATCATGTTATAATTGATATATTTACATACAACCGGCGACATTCTGATTTTATATATAAGTCAAATTAAAAAAAACTGAAGTATAACACTTCGTTCATATAGTACCTAAGTCTTGACATTTTTTATTACTGAAAAATGTCTATAAACGACTGTATTTTCATTAAAATATAGTCTTTAATCATCGTCTGTCAAAATCCCAATTTTCGACCAATGTTTAAAAAATATTGGTCGAATGTTCACAACGTTTTTTTTTCGACCAAACATTGAGTCGAATCAGGTCGGATATCAACACAAGTGCTTGAGTAACTGTTCGGTGACCTCAGATTTTGATATATCCGCAAATTCCGCCGTCTTACCTCTTTGTAGGATTTCTATAGTGCTTCTAGAATCTAGTTGCTTCATATGATACAGTAATTTGTTGCCAGATATAGGCTGCAGAGGTCTGGCAACATTTAAAGTTGTGTTTTTGAGCGCTCTGGCTAATGTTTTGAGGAATTTCGACCATTGGCGCTCGTTAGAGGTCGCTTCGGGCGTGTTTACTAGTATCGCTGCTTTCTCCATTAGTGCGCAGACGCAGCTTAGGGTGAACTGTAAGGGAAATTGTTTTTGTTCGTTTATTTGTTCATGTGACTGACGAAGAGAACATTTTATAACTTAAATATTGTAGAGGTCACGTAAGGTTTACAGTTCGACCTTAGAGTTAGACAAAGTACGATATTGTTATACGAGTTTAAGCTTCCATTTTCTATATTCTGAGTAATAGTAGTGGACGAATCATTGATCGAATTAGTAAGTACGACTGCAGAGCAAGAGGTAGCGGGTTCAGTGTTCGAGACGAGCAAATTGTTTAATTTCACGATTTTCGAAATTCACAGTGAACAATGTCGGATAAAGACCGTCTTATTACACATAGAAGGAATGGCATTCATCGTCACAGCCCAGGTTTCTTCACGATGCCTTTACTAAATGCTATTGGTTTGACTGCATGGAATCGAACCCGCGACACGTTACGCGTTTCGCGTTGCGGAGTAACTTTGTGTGATCCACAGATTGTAGTTCCGTGTCTGTGTGTGTATGTGAACTTGTATATTTGTAAACGTACACACGACATAGGAGGAAATCCTAGTGTAATCCTCCTTTTAACGTTGCCCATGTTAAAAAAAGAGAAAATAAGAGAGTAGTATTGAAATAAACTTTGAAAGCACATGTAACTTGGAACATAGGTCTCAAATCACCACCTGCATGGTCAAGAAACGGACAACTTAATCACCACACAATAAAAGGAAATCAGAAAGTGTACTTACAGGTGTAGTCAACGCGTAAGGTGTCCTGGCAGGATCGAAGGCTTCCGCCAGCAAGCTACAGGACTCCAGGATGGGAGACCAGCCAGTTGTCGTTTGTATATAGCTGGGGAGTAAATATTATATTGTAAAGTATGTTTCTTTACTGATTCAAACTGCCTCGTTGCCCGAGTGATACCAAGTGCCAATTGCCGGGTTTGATTCACGGGGCGAGTACGGCACGGAGTCTGGTATTGTGCCCAGTATATGGTCATCGACTCACCTCCTATTACATGGGATTTATAACATAAATAGTGAAAATTGGGTGTTACATTGTACAGTGGCATTAAGTACCGTAATGTGCACCTTTGCCTACAACATCGGGGATAAAAGGCGTGATGTTACAACATAAACTTGAAATAAATCTAAAGGTGTGTTTATTAATTACAATAAAATTTGATACTCATTGAAATAAAGTAAGTTACCTATTTAAGTATTAAATAAAACAGTTACAACAATTCAAAACCAATTATAGTAGTTAAAAACCAACTAAGCAAACAGTTAATCAATTAGATCTTAAGAAAAATGGTCATGAATTTAGTAAGTTAAGATGTGACGCGCCCCGGCCCGCCCCCGCCGCCCGGCAGTGACCGCACGCGGCGGGACTCACGGCGGAGGACACACTACCACCCCCCTCCCCACAATCTCTGAATCCCCAAACAATCGGGTACTTGCCAACTAGTCAAATTCAATACTTTTTCCAACTGTCAAAAACGACAGTTTTCTATGGATTTTGTACGAGATTGTGTATTGTGACGTCACGTTTTTTAAGCGAAAAACACAGTAGCGACAAAGTATACAATCAGCAAACTCCTAATCCCCAAAAGGCCGGTAACGTGCTCTTAACGCCTCTGGTGTCCCAGGTGTCCATGGGCGGCGCCGATTGTTTACCATCAGGTGATCCATCAGCTCGTCTACTGGCTTATGCTATAAAAAAATAGTACCGATACTTACTTCCGATAATGCGTAGCTAAGGGCGCCAAGTTATTAGGATCCCTCCTGGCGGCGGCCGGTAGACCTCGCAGCAACTTGCACCATAGAGACCTCAGGCGCACGTGGGACGCGGGGACACGGGCCACGAAACGAGATATTAGGGTCTAGACAAAGAAATGTTGTTATACATAACAATAAAAGTGATAATGAAAGTAGAAAAGAATACCAGTGTCCACCCTAAATCTTCCCATGGGTGTATGATACCCGACTATGCGTATGGTAGAGACCTGGGTGCTTGCTTACTCTTGAAACCAATCTCAATGTCAATGCAATATACAACCGCTATCGTAGCTGTTAGAATAGCATTCAGAGTATGGAATATAAAGCCAAAGTCAATACCATTTTGTTCATTCAATATCCACGCAATATAGATGCAATGGGCGCTAGTGTTACAACTCAAGAGTACGAAATTTCACAATATCAATGTCGATAGATCGGAATTGGATTGAAGAGTAAGCGTGGTCGCAGCGTCTAATTACTTTATACTGTAATTTCCTGCCCCGACTGCCTCGTTGGCCGAGTGGTAGCAAGGTCGACTGCCGGGCAAGGGGTCTCGGGAAAAATAAGTAGTCTCAGTAGTAACACGGAGTCTGGAGTTGTGCCGGGAATATGGCAATAGGCTCACCTTGTATTACATGGGACTAATAACATAAATGATGAAAAATGGGTGTTACATTGTACAGTGGCATTAAGTACCGTAGGTAATGACACCTCTGCCTACCTCTTCTGGGATAAAAAGCGTGATGTTCTGAATTAATGGCTATATTATAATTATATAATAATATCCTCACCCGTCCCTTCCTAACAGTGAGCATCTGCTGCACCCTGTCGCTGTGCAGTAGTCCGGCGAACATCTTGTTGACGAGGTCGTCCTTGTCCTCGTCCAGTAAGTTCTTCGAGGGCGCCGGCTTCTGATTCACTGCTAGGTTTACCACCTGCGGAGAAGACAAATATTCATAAATTATTCAATTAATAACTCACTAATGTCAAAGTATCTAAGTAGTCTTAAGGGGGTAAAATCATCGAATGACTGCTCCCGCCTGGGTGAGGCGGGAGGGAGTGTCAGACTCTTACTGACTAAAAACCACCCCGTTCCTTCTCCTGCACGTCGAGCCGGAGCCCCGGTTACCCGTTAGGTTCTCCGCGACTCCGAATCGGCATCGGGCCTATTGGGCCCCATCTGTGGTGGTCTGATGGCTCTTTGAGGCGCGCGCGGAACGCTCGGCGCCGTACGCTCGGGTCTGTTTCTGGTCGGACGGGGAGCCACCCATGCTCGCCGTCCGCAGGCCCGCGCTTACGGTGGCCGGAGATCATGCTTCTCATGCATAAGGGTGCGGGTTCGTAAACTACCAACGGCAAGTACCAATGTGACTTTTTCCGAGTTATATGTACTTTCTAAGATTATTTAGACACCACTGATGAACGGTGAAAGAAAACATTGTAATTATAATTTTTAATTATAAGTTTGAAATCGACAACCCGCATTGAGAAAGCGTGGTGATTAATGCTCAAACCTTCTCTGTATGAGAGCAGAGGCCTTTGGTCAACATGATTATTATTAACATTAAGCTGTTGATGTATAATGTACTAGCTTTTTCCCGCGGCTTCGCTCGCGTCACAAAAGGATAAAAAGTAGCCTATGTGACATATACCAATATACACAGCGCCATCTATACCAATACTTTTGTTTTTCCCTCAGGAATATAATTTTTTCCGGGATGTAAAGTACTCTATTATTTAATCTGGACTTCTAACTTTACGTCTGCAAAAAATCAAAGCAATCGGTTTAATAGTTACGGCGTGAAAGTGGAACAAACAAACAAACTCACTTTCCGATTTATAATATTAGTAAGGATGTATGCGTGTACAACTACAATAGCGGTTCACGTAAATCAATCGTTTTTCTCTAATTAATTGGGTAGTTTCCAGGGTATCAAAATTAAAAATCTAATTAGTCCGTCAGCTACATAATGAAAAAATATTAGACATGTATTTTTTATTTTCTCGTATTAAGTTGCAATACTTAGATAAAATGGCGCTAAGTTTAGGAGTGGGAGGTCGTTACGTCATAACGTGCTACAAAATGTGGCACGCTGTGACGTCACACGATATTTCAAATTAATATATAGTCGAAAGTATTTAATTTCGTGAGAAAAGAAAAAATACGTGTCTAAAGTTTTAAATTAATGTACCAGAAGGAAATTAAAATAAAATTTAGGAAACTGCCCTATTTCTTATTAGATAACATGTCATACATTTTTGTATGACAATGTATGGAGTTCAGGCGTCGTTAGATTGTTTTGAGTTGAAAGAGACCACAGATTTGTCGTTCAAATAGTTTATTTTTAATTTTAGTAAGTTATTAGTATAATGCGTCAAACGTGTCTTTGCATTGTTCTTACATATGCGTACAGTATTGAAATATGTATCAGAGACATTGTAGAACATACTTTTTTAAATGTGTAACGAATGGAGTTTCTTGCTCGTTCTTCTCCATTCGAATCTACTTTTTGGAATGAGCACCTAGCTTCACCTAGTTTCACTGACGGACTGACTGACAGACTATTATTTATTTTGTATTTGTTGACGTTTATAAAGTACCAAACTATGGTTTAATTGAAATAAATGCTTTGACCTTTGACTTATTGTGTAAGTTACACTCGTTACGTGAGATGCTAATCGTGATTATAGTTATAATCAACTGTACATTAAATAACGCCGTCTGTCTGTCCCTATGTATGCTTAGATCTTTAAAACTACGCGACGGATTTTGATGCGGTTTTTTTAATAGATAGAGTGATTCTTAAGGATGGTCTATATGTATAATACATGCATATTGAACCCGTGCGAAGCCTGGACGGGTCGCTAGTATATTAATTAACTCGTCGAGTACCGTCATTATAGACTCAATTAAAGAACAATAGGTTGCGATCATCGGTGACTGCTCGGTGTGTCAAACACCGAGCAGTTTAAATCGACCCGCAAAAGTAGGTCGCGCGACGTTAGTAAAATAAATGCCTGTACGTAAACCGTACAGACAATTGGGTACCTACTTGCCTTAATCAAAATATTTTTTTTCGACTGTTCAATACAATAAAGTATTAAAAAATAATCACACTTTCATTAATTGATTTTATGACCAACTTAATTTTAATATTTTTCCAGCAAATTTTTAAGAAATTAGTTTGCTGTTGACGCTAAAAAAACGTGACGTCACAATACACAATCTCGTACAAAACTCATAGAAAACTGTCGTTTTTGACAGTTGGAAAAAGTATTGAATTTGACTAGTTGTCAAGTACCCGATTAATATTCCATTATCTTACCTGTCGTTTGTCAATACTCTCGCTCTTGGGACTGTCCTGCTTAGGCCTGCGCTGAACAGACTCTATGTTCTTGAGGAACAGGTTGGCTACCTCTTGCTGTTCGCTCTCCTCCTTTTGCGCTGCTTCTAGTTGCTTCTGTTTTTCTTCCCTTTCCTAGAAGCGAGATGGAAGAATGAATTTTAATTCAGTTTATGAAGCTATAAATCTATCGTTAAATAACGATTTCGGCGGACAGACAGGATTCAGTGTAAAATATAGGATTTGAACCAAAATTACATTAAAAAAAAAAATACTTTTACAAGATAAAAGAGCTATATTTATGTTTATTTTTGTAGTGGTGTTTTTGTGCGTCTTGACATTAAATTTTATTAATGAATGTGGATAATATGAAGAATTCTTTCGTGTGGGAATTGAAACTGCGTCCCCTTATACAGGAGGGAGTCAACGAGCAGACAATTTACGATACTAAATTAATGCTTATTTTCTAAAATTCTTTTAATAAACAATTGGGTACTTTCCTCAATCAAAATAAATTATTTGGACTGTTCAATATAATAAAATATTAAAAAATAATCACACTTTCATTAATTAATTTTATGACTAAATTAATTTTAATATTTTTCTAGCATATTTTTAAGAAATAAGTATTCTGTTTGACGCTAAATAGACGTGACGTCACAATACACACTCTCGTACAAAATTCATAGAAAACTGTCGTTTTTTACATGCAAGTATCCAATTGTACAAAATCGACATTCTTACTAAAGAAGATATTAATATGTAAACAGAATTAGAGTACAAATTACCTCAATATATGCGCTTAAGGTGCCTTGAAGTTAAACAACAACTATTTTATACCTTATACTAACTACATTAAAGTACAATTTAGTTACATTACCTTTAATATAAGCGCGTTGGATATCGCTAGAGGGTCGTTGAGCTCCTCCAGCCGTAATAATATTAAGTAAAGCGCCTCTATGTCAAGTAACAACTGTTTCGTCCTCTTCATTTCCCGGGGAACCTGAAATATTTATTATAGTTGTTATTGTTATACATGTTGCAGTAATATTTAACATCCGTTAGATGGGATTAGGGTGTCATAACACCAGACTATGAAAATGACGAAAATACTATGGGCCTAACTAGAAATATGGCCAAACATTTCTTTGTTCATTTTTTTATCGTTGCTCCATACTATGATAATCTCCTTTGTCGTGGATACGCTTACAAACATACAAGTTCACATACACATCACACCCAGACACGGAGCTACAATCTGTGGAGCACACAAAGGGTTGTTCCGTGCGGGAATCGAGCCCGACACGTTGCGCGGCAGCCAGTTGCCCAGCCACCACACCAACCGTGCAGTCAAAGCCAAAACCTAATCCAAAACACAGGGTCGTACTCAGAATAAGGTAATAATAAGGCTGGCCCACACCCCTGTGTCTAGACATATCCAGAACCCAATACAACCACACAGGCCCACACTCAGAACCAGACAGGATCCCAATAGTATACAGGGCCAGACTCAATTCACGGTCTTTTTTTAAGAAGGGAAAATCATCGAATGACTGCTCCCGCCTGGGTGAGGCGGGAGGGAGTGTCAGACTCTGACCGACTAAAAACCACCCCGTTCCTTCTCCTGCAAATCAAGCCGGAGCCCCGGTTACCCGTTAGGTTCTCCGCGACCAATTCACGGTCTAGGATCGCATTTAGAACACAGCTCTAACTGTCTCTCCCCAAGTCATGTTTATATTAACGCGACCATAAAAGCGACCAGCGACGCGGCGACTGTCGCAGCTACTGAATGCTTCGAAATGCTTCCAATGAATATGAGCCTGTAGCGTGGCTTGAAACTAGTCGTGTTCCTCGTCAAACAGTTGTAGTTCAAAATATAATACTTAACATTTGTTCATATAAAAGTAGTTTCTAAACATCGGAAATAAGATCTTCAAAGGAGTAAGTGGAGAGCGGTCACTGGTGATTGTATGGACGAGTGCTTACCTCAGTGGGATGCGTGGTGCTGGCGACGCTAGAAGCTCTCGACATACGTGATGGGGCCGCGTCCGCTCCTACTACTTCCACATCGATAATCTTACGTGGCGCTGTTACACTGCCACACTGGAATTGAAGAGTGTGATAATATTATAAACACAATACAATAGGGTAGATGCATATTTTTTATTTTAATGTCCGTCTTGTAGATTATTTTAAATAATTACACCCGTATTTTTTATTTTCTTACAGAAACGAATACTTTCGACGATATATTGATTTGAAATGTCGCGTGACGTCACTTCTATGTACATTTTATACGTAGAAATGACGTTTTAGCCCCCACTCGTAAACTTTGATTCGTTTTATCTAAGTATTGTTTTATTATACGACAAAATAAAAAAATACGTGTCTTATATTTTTTCATTATGTACTTACGGACTAATTACATTTTTAATGTTCATACCCTGTCATCATCCCAATTATGAATTTACACATATTTAAGTGTGGGAGGCCATTTCCGCCAAATCACACTTTTCGATGGAAGCGAAAAACAATCAGATATTTGTTTAAATACGTGTCATTGCGTTGCCGCAGTAATTACAAATATTTTACTTGGCATGTACACTAAATATGTCAAACGTATCGTTGTTAATGAACATCTTACAAAATGTTAAGAGCTCGAAAAGAACCATGCTTCGGCACGAGTGGGCTGACGCGACCGGAGACGACAGACCACGGCCGCGCAGAAAACCGTCACGTAGTGTGAGTGAAGTTACCGGATGGCGAATCTTTACCCAATCCCCGAATCCCCAATAATCCTTAAATTCCTAATTCCCAAAAGGCCGGTAACGCACTTTTTTTATAGCATAAGCCGATAAACGAGCAGACGGATCACCTGATGGTAAGCAATCGGCGTCGCCCATGGACACCTGGAACACCAGAGGCGTTACAAGTGCGTCACCGGCTTTTTGGGGATTAGGAGTTTGAGGATCGTTGGGGATTCAGGGATTGGGGAGATTGGGGAAGGGGAAGGTAATTGGGCCTCCGGTAAACTCACTCACACGACGAAACACAACGCAAGCGTTGCTTCACGTCGGTTTTCTGCTCGGCCGTGGTATCACTCCGGTCGAGACGGCCCATTCGTGCCGAAGCATGGCTCTCCCACACTTAAACACCTCCAGTGTTTCGGGTGTCCATGGGCGGCGCCGTTGCTTACCATCAGGTGATATGTCTGTTCGTTTCATGAATAGTTGAATTGAAAGAAATAAATTGGTGGTTTGGAAGAGATGGTGTTTTCATATCATGTTACATGCAGCTTCCCATGATTCAACTGACATGACAGCTTCCAAAGATTCGAATGATTTGCATGGTATCGATAGATATGGTACATACAATCCCCCATCACTACCTTCTACTACTTCGTGTGGTTATGTAAGGACGGAATTGTGACTTAGTACCTATTGTAAGTTTTTGTGTATGCCGACTTATTTTAATAAAAAAATAGAACAATACAAACCTGCAGCTTCCCAAGCGAGTTCTCGAACTGCGTGGGCACGTATGTCCGCGGCGTGGCGGTGTCCTCGCTGGTAGAGTTGTGACGGTTCGAGTTGTGACGCTCGCGGTGCGTGTGGGTCTCTTGTTTTACACCTAGAAAAGTTTAAATAATCTATATATATTATGTTTATATACAAATTAATCCCTTTTCCCTCACGGTCACGCCATCCCGCGTGAATGGGTGGACCGATGTCACTAATTCTTTTTTTTGTTGTATTTGTTACTAGCTTTTACCCGCGGCTTCGCTCGCGTCACAAAAAGTTAAAAAGTAGCCTATGTGACATATACCAATACACACAGCGCCATCTATACCAATTCTTTTGTTTTCCCTCGGGAATATCACACTTTTCCGGGATAAAAAGTACCCTATGTTTTAATCTGGACTTCTAACTTTACGTCTGTAAAAACTCAAAGCAATCGGTTCAGTAGTTACGGCGTGAAAGCGGAACAAACAAACAAACAAACTCACTTTCCGATTTATAATATTAAGTAAGGATTATTAGGAGAAGGTTCTTAAGACAGAACAAATTATGAAAATCCTACGGGGACCGGAGGAAAGGGGAATGCGCCGTACAAAGTCGCGGGCAGAAGCGAGTAATTAATATTTATTTTTTACTTATTTATTTTTTGAGAGATATTTTTCGAAACCTACCAATAGCAAGTACCAATGTGACTTTTTTTTCTTTTTATATTTGATGGAGCGACGATTGACCACTATCTCCCTTTGACTTTTTCCGAGTTATAAGTACTTTCTAAGGTTATTTAGACAGCACTGACAAATGGTGAAGGAAAACGTGAGGAAACCTGAGCTTATCATTTCTAATTATAAGTTTCAATTCGCCAATCAGCATTGAGCAAGCGTGGTGATTAATGCTCAAACCTTCTCCGTGTGAGAAGAGGCTTTGTTCTGCAATGGGCATTTGTAGGCTGTTAATGATGATGATGAACATAACATCACGCCTTTTACCCCCGAAGGAGTAGTCAGAGGTGCACATTATGTCACTGTACAATGTAACATTCCCTTTTCACTATTTATGTTATGAGTCCCATGTAATAAGGGGTGAGCTTATATGTAATAATGTTACTGTTTTTTATTCCTTAATAAATAAATTAAGTAAAAATAATGAAGATATCCTTACCTCCGCTATAGAATGGATGATTCTGCTGGTTCGCTTTGTGAGCCTCCTTTACGCCTTCTTTTTCTTTACTCGCTTGTCTCTCTAAGAACACCTGTAATAAAGAAAATAATACAAATATTAACCATTTTATTGTGTAAGAGCAAATATCTTTAAGCCAAGGATACATTAGGGGACAAATGTCTGACTGCACGATTGACGCGGCGGCTGGCCGAAGGTTCGATTCCCGCACGGAACAACTCTTTGTGTGCCCCACAAATTGTTGTTTCTGGTCTGGGTGTGATGTGTATGTGAACTTGTATGTTTGTAAACGCACCCACGATACATGAGTAAATACTAATATGGAGCAACGTTTTTTTTTAAACAAAATTAAATGTCCTGCGATAAGTGTCACCAGAGACGTTGCGTGAAGTAGCCGTCGACTTTGGTCGATATGTCTGGCAACATCAACGTCGCAGTGGACATAAGTAATAGGACATAAGTAGTAATATTGATAACTAGCTTCTGCCCGCGACTTCGTACGCGCAATCTCGTTTTTTCCCGTTCCCGTTCGTGATATTAGATAAAAATTAAAAAAAATTTATAAAAAGTATCCTATGTCCGTCACCTGGTTTTAAGCTACCTCCCTGCCAATTTTCATCTAAATCGATCGAGGCGTTCTTGAGTTATAAATAGTGTAACTAACACGACTTTCTTTTATATATATATAGATGTATCTTTAGTAATTTACATTATACCTATATATACGGATATATGTATGTATTTACAGTTATGCATCACATAAACCATTATACCTATTACACCTACTGTTGCACATCTCTGCATCACCCCATGGTTGACTGTTAGAGAATGCCACCCGGCATTAAGTCCGCCATCGTATGTTTGTTATACAGAAGTGTTAATAATTATATAAATAAATAAATAAATAAGTCGCGCGTTGTCGCCGTGTGTGTTAAGCGACATCTTCGCTTCGCTCGACATTTTTTTATACCACGACGGTGTCAAGAAAAGCACACGGCCCACCTGATGGTAAGCGGTTACCGTGACCTATGTACGCCTGCAACACTTGGGGAATTACGTGAGCCTTGCTGACTCTTATTAAAACCTATTTACTCCTTTCTTTGCTGCCTCATTGGCCGAATGGTCGCAAGTGCGACAGCCGGGCAAGGGGTCTCGGGTTCGATTCCCAGGTCGGGCAAAGTATTACTGGGTTTTTGAAAATACTCAGTAGTAGCACGGAGTCTGGAATTGTGCCCGGTATATGGCAATAGGTTTACCCCTATTACATGGGACTTATAACATAAATAGTGGAAAATGAGTGTTACATTTAACAGTAGCATTAAATGCCATAAAGTGCATCTCTGCCTACCCCTTCGGGGATAAAAGGCGTGATGCTATGTATGTATGTACTCCTTTTTTGAAGAACCCCATTTTGTAGCCCACCGGGAAAACCTTGGCATTGACTCTGAAACCGAACTGTACGGGACCATTTGGGCTCCAATGTGTGAGCGTGAGTGAACTCCCTGTCGATACATGTCTTGGAAGATTTGTCCCCTAGTATATTCTAGGCTTTATATAAAGTATCGTGAGACATACAGAATTAAATAAAAATTACGGTAGTACAAACAGGGGGCCAATTCTCGGCTTTAGAGATGATGTCGAACTCGACAAAAATGTCTAATGACGTCATTTTTTCGTCAAATTTTAAAAGTTGCTATTCTGGAGATGTCGAATGCGACATTTGTCGAAGGCTAACGTTAGAGTTCATGTCGAGTGCTTCTGAGCAGTAGAGATGGCATGTCGATTGTAGAGATACGCCATTTCTGAGTGAATTCGTTTGATTTTGGGATTGTAGTGTCTTTTTTCTTTCGTTTTGAAATAAAATACGGCTTTGCATCTCATACCTACTGGAAATTCGGTATAGACTTTTCGATTTGTGCATTCTCTACAATGAAGCACTTAACTCGTCGAGCACCGTTATTATAGACACAATTAAAGAACAATAGGTTGAGGTCACCGGTGTCCGCTTGGTGTGTGACAGTTTAAGAAAACGCGATCCACTATCGAGCGTTGTAATGGAGTGCTAAAGGGCCGATTTAGGTGTCTTTTAATACTTTAAAAAAAGGATAGGGTGTTACATTACACACCTAATAAGGCTACTAAAATAATTAACGACTGCTGTGTATTACACAATTTGTGTATAGCCCACAACTTTGAATTCTCTGATATGCCTGAAGAGAGAGAGTTAGGCATAATTATAATAGACCTTCCAACCACAACAGGAGGCAATATTTATTTCAATATAGGCAGAAATATACAACAAAATATAATTAATAATTACCACAAAATGTTTATAAAATTGTTTTATTTATTAGGTACCTTAATTTTATAAGTAAATACATTACTAATTTAAAAAAAGATATGGTAAACATTCAATAAGTTTATAGTTATTATTACACTAGTAGTTATTACACTTTGTAAAAGAA